CACAGTTGGGTCAATTCAAATTAAGCAAATCTGCCAAACCTCCTAATAAACCTATTTTTTGCGGCAACATTCAGTCTTTTTTTCTGGGGTGAAAGATACAAGTAGAAGTTTATTCAACATTTTCTCGATTGGTATGCTTCACTTCGCTGAACTTCTTTTATGATGCTTGTGTCTACATGCTATTACCATGACCTCCTTAGAGTCGACACTTGACGAAGAAAGTTTGTACGTGACGGGGAAAATTATCACCGAGGAGGACTGCATATCACATCTACAACACAGTAATTTCTCAAATTAAGATGGATGATAATGCTGAAAATTATGTTAACGATGTGAGTTTTTTCTATTTTAAACTTCGAACTTCAGTGTTTTTACTTTTTACTTCTTCTAAGGTCGTCTCTATTTTTTTAAAGTGGTTATTTATAATTTTTGCAAACGCGTAAACCAAGTAGTACAGTTATAAGTTTATATCGTTTCAGTCCAGTCCTTGGCATTGCCTGGTTTCATGCCTAATTCACGGGTGTCCACATGTATACTTTGCAAAAGGTTCACGAATATTCTTAGTCAAATATAATAAAATCTTGGAGGTCCTATATCGAATGGTCAACTCAATTTCGCAGGAATTACGGTTATCTAAGGAGATTAAGACTGTTCACGTCATTGGTAAGTAATTTGCGAGCCTCATTTTAGCCATCAGCCGTCTTTGTTGAGCACTCTATCGCGTCAAGTTGATAAACGTTAAATGTGAGCGTTGAGACTACAGCCCGACTAATGAGAGAAGAAAATGACAGCCGCCATTGTCGTGTGCAGCACACAACTTGAAATCAAGGCTCTTACCGAATTCATACACTCCTTTTGTTTGGTGTGATTTAACATTTACTGAGCAGTGACCACCGCTGCCTAAGCGGCGCAGGATTCTGTGCAGGATAATTCCTTATGTAGTGTCATTAATTTCCACTTGTTCACCTCGACCTCGCCTGTTGCTTAGGCCATCACATAGTCTAGGTTCTGCAGTATGACCACTCGTCTTCTTAGTCCAGCCAGGAGGCAAAACGCGCCAGCAGACTCCTACACGGTGGGCGGTAGCGAATGTAAATCCGACAGACAAATAAGGACGGCACGGACAACCAACACATAAAATTTCTCAGTTTTGTGATGGAAGCGTGACATTACGTTCATGAATCCTCGTTAGGTCAATTTTCTTGACACTGATCCCTTGCGGTCCGCTGTGGATACCATTATGATCGCCCGTACATCGCAATTCGCTCTCGGAACATCTGATCCACCTGCCAGGATGGATTGTTGACCAAAGTCCCTGGTAACTGTTCTACCGACTGAATTTGGGCGGATTGCTGTATAAAGCTGGGCTGACATCGTTGAGACCGGCTAGATCAGGCATGATCACAGCCGTAACAAGTAGAAGTACAATAAAGCTGGGCTGTTGTTTAAAGGACCCCAACAAGCTCGTTCTTTCCGAGAGCTCCCTATTAATCTAGTGAGGATGTTTTTGCTCTATTCTATAGGGTTTACGTGCTGTATGGGCCGACGAAGCCTAAAGAACGAGAGACTGCTCGATGACTAAAACGTCCAAAGTTACTGGGAATACCCTATACCAATTGTTCATACGATATGAACGGTGGGTTTTGACCGAAATGAGGGCGCCCCATGAGTGGGGCTTAGTTATTCTACTGACTTGCGCAAAATGGAGAGGATACCAGGAAAAACGTCGTCGCTGTATTAGATTACCGTTAGTTTCTTCCAGGAGTTTTTGGACTGTCTTCCTTAGTCTTCTGTGCAGTCCTAAGGATCATAACACGGTTGAACCAGCTCATTCTCCGTGCATGACAGGTCTTTAGCAGCTTCTTTCTTTTCTTCAACGGTCTACACCCGTCTGTTACATTAACTTTAGCAGTCGATTCCATAGTTCTTAATTCGTTCTGGGCGGTAGGGATAAGAATAAATATATCAAGTCGAGCCTTCGGTGACAGACTTGTTGTCAGCTAATCTGAGTCCATTTGTGGCCCAGTCTTGTCGGCTATCTTCGACTCCTTAACGGACAGCCTATACGGCAGACCACTTCCAGCAATTTAAGATGTTGAACTTTGGCCAGGCTGCGAA